TAGGTGCACATTATTTTAATAATTTTTTAAGCAAAACGACATCGTTTTGGGTTTATCGAGTATCAAAATAGTTGTGTCAAAACGACGTCGTTTTTGCGAGTATCCATGTCAACACAGAGCAATCATGTCATCCTGCTGTTAAATCATTAACGACAGAGTAATATAATTGCACTTAAAAATAAACATTAGTACTAAAATTGATAAAATTAAAACGTTGATGGTATAAACGAGTCAACACTTAAAGATTAGTGGTATTTGAAGTAGTTTACCCATTATTTTAGTGTAAATTGTAATATTTAATCCGAGTTCAAATCCCATAAATTACTAAATATGTTTTTAGTAAGACGACGTAATTTTGGGTCTTTTAGGCATTAAAATACTTTCATCAGAACGACGCCGTTTTGGTGAGACATCCACATCAGCAACGTCATAGTGCGCAATTGTCATGTCAATATGTCGTTAAGTCATTAACAACGAAGTAACATAATTACACTTAAAAGTAAACGTCGGTGATATAAACAAGTCACAACTTGGTGGTATTTAAAATAGTTTACGATTATAAGTTCTATCCATTTAATTCACAAACATTATTATCTCTTTTGAAGTAAGAAACAAATAAATTGGTTTTTCAATTATAAAAGATAAGAATTATAAAAAGCAATTCAAAATTGTAAAAAATCAAAATCAAAATCTCTTTCCTAAGATAAGTTATACAATTCAATGTTAGGTTTAATATAAATTTAACAGGAATGCTTCAATTCTTTGAAATTGGTTTCAGTTTTTGACAAATAAGTGGCGCAATTAAATTGTGAAAAATATAGATACTATTATTGAACATTTTAACTATATTATTTATTTAACATCATGTTACAAATTAAGTCAAGAATAACGATAAATAATTATTATACAATAAAATTTATTATACGGCTATAAGTTATTGTTTTATTAAGTCTTTTGATTATTATAAGATACAGAATTATCCTTTTATTATAGGGTGTTGTTATATTGAGTCTCTCGCTATTAAAAGCTATAAGATGGTCACTCAAATATTCATATGTTTCAAACTCATTTGTTTCCGTTGTAAAATTAACGATAATTTAAGTTAGATGTTACTTTGTTGGTTGGAATATGATAAAATTTAATAACAACAATTCTTTTATCACAAAGATTAAAACATTAGCTCTTGTTTCAATTATGTTATGATAAACAAATATAATATTACTTAATTATGTTACGATCAATAAATGGTAAAAAGATATCAGATGTTCTTGTACTTTGAAAAACAAATCAATGTGACCCTCATATTATTATTTTTTCTTTCAATGTGGCTCTCAAACTTAGAAAATAAACACAATGTGGTTCTACGACCAACGTTTTTCATCGTTTGACCGTTACAGTGTTGACGTGACAGTTCACGGTGTTGACATGACGGTCTACAGAACTGACTTGGCAGTCCACATGCCATGTTTGAGTTGCCAATTTAGTTCATCTGTCATGTTATCCGCCACGTTATCAACCATTGTTGATTGTCACATTAGCATCGTGAACTGCTGCATCACACTATAACAGTTAACGACGAAAAACGTTGGTAAAGGATCACGTTGAGCTTATTTTCTAGGTTGGAGTGTCACATTGAGAGAAAAAATAATATGAGTGTCATATTGATTCTTTTAAAATACAAAGACATCTAATGTCTTTTTGCGAAAATAAATTTAGTATTATAAAGAACTAAATAATACAAATATTTATTTTAAATTAAAAATTAAAAGAATGGTAATTGTGTCTGTGTTGTCTGTTTGCCTTGGGGGAAACTAATTACGAAATTGGTTTTTCCCCGAAATCTCGTGTTTGTTTCACATAATTCGTTTTCCGAAAAATGTTTTCTAGTGTTTGGTTGGAGGAAAACTGGTTGGTTAACTTAAAATATTTTCCTGATCAACAAAATTTCCTTTGTGTTTTCTAGAAAATGACTTACGGTCTGATTTTTCGTAAATCATTTTTCGAACTTTTCACTTCAAAGAATAAATACTCAAAATAATTATATTTTATGAATTTAATATTAATAAGATATTTTAATATCATTTTAATCAAAATATTAATTATTAAAATATTTAAAATATATGTATTAATATTTCTAATAATATAATATTATATTTTTAATATTATAATAAAATAATCAATTATATTATAATAATATAATATGTTATATTTTTATTTTAATAATATATAATAAATTATTAATAAAATTTATATTATTTATTAATTTCATAGAAATAATATTATTAAATTATTAATAATGAATAATATTATTTATATATTTAATATTAATATAATAATCTAATAATATTTTAATAAAGATATTTAAAATATACTAATTAATATTTTTAAAATATAATATAACACTATTACTTTAATAAATAATTAATATAATTTATAATATTTTTATTTCAATAAAATATACCAATATTAATATTTTTTATTAATAAAATTAAAAAAAATAATATTTAATAATAAATAAATTATTTTAATATTTTGAAAATAATAATATTAAATTTTATGATAAATAATATTATTTATTGTATTTAATATTTATAATAAATAATTTTTTAAAAAACTCATCAACTAGTGGAAAAAAAGTTTAAAAAACATATTCCAAACATCGTTGTCATAACCGTCTTTCGGTTGGGCCCCGAAATTGGACTTCGACTTAGGAAAATGGGTTAGGAGTCGCCACCGATAATTTATTTTATAAAAATTGGGTTGATCGGATACCTTATTTCTTACCTGGTCCGCGTCTTTTCAAAGATGTGTCGGATTCGGGAGTCGATTACAGTCAAGGAAGGGTTAGCACCCTTGAATTGCCCTTTCGGTACTATATAATTCCCATTTGTCTTTAGTTAAGAAAATTGTAATCTTAAATGAAAAGGTAAAATGACGATCCGAATTACTTATCTTTAATCGTTTTTGAAAACGTACCCTTAAAGCATCAAGAAAAGTGTTAAAAATGAAAAAATGAAGATAAAGAAAATGAGATAAAGAAGGATAAAAATAAATAAATCAATACAATAAAAATATCGAAGAATAAAATGAAATAAAATATATAAAATATATACTGATAATAATAATAATAAAACATAGATAAATAATAAACACAAAATGAGTAACAATACAGCAAGAGAAAAAAAAAGAAATAAGTATATGATATAATGGTAATAAATTGAAAAACTAAAATATATATATACAAAATAAGAAATATAACTAAATATGTACATAGACAATAATAATAAAGAGGAAACTAAATAAAATATATATACACGTTAATGATAATAAATAATAATAATAATAATAAATAAACAGTATATTTATATAAAAAAGTATAATAAAAAAACGGAAAGGATAAAAAGAAATAAAAAACAATAATAAGCGGTATAGTTAAATACATATAACAAGGACTAAAATGCAAAAAGAAAGAAATTTGTAGGCCAATTTAAAGAGAGTTCGGGATTTACAGTCAAACGTGGGGGGGACCGAATTGAAAGGAAAAGCGAATTAAATGACCAAATTAAGAGAGAACCAAGGCCTAAATTAGGATTTAGGGTCAAAATAAAAGGATTAAAGCCACGAGGGACCAAGAATGGAATTGCTCCATTCGCGTTTTAAAAACACGCGGATCCCATAGGGGATCTGCTCGGGTCGGGTCGGCCTTAACGGGTTGCATGATGGGTTGTATAAAACTTAATTTTTTTAAAAAATGCTTCATTTCTTTCTTTTCTTGCGCGAGCCCCCCATTCAGAAAAAAGCTCTCAGATCCCGGCCACCATGGCCACCCTGCCCCGCCTCGCCGCCGCCGTTGATTGGCGGCGAAACACGAAAAAGACAGTTTTTAAAAAGCTCTCAACTCCCTCGTTTCGAAAACCAAAGTATTTTCTTTAAAAAACAAGCCTCGAGGTATAGATTTGGGTTTGAAAACTTCGAAACCCCACCTCTGTTCATCGGCTTTTTAGCGTATTTGGGGTTTTTCCGAGCCAAATCTCAAAAGAAATACATGCAAAAGTGAAAACGAACAACAAGGTGAGCAAAAACTACCTTTTTATTTCCTTTTGAATCGATTACAACAGCTCCGATTTGCCTCGTATTTTGAGTATTTTGTGCGTAAAGCTCTCTGGTAATCTCGTGTGATTTTCGTATATCGATCGTGTCCCACACAGTATGGATTACATTGTATTTATAGCCTACACATATCCTATTTTTAGTCATAGAATCCTACTCAAACTGAAATTTGTTGTTTGAATGCTTGTTGGTTGCTTGGAACCCACGACCGATGCTTGTGGTCGAGAGAATCGGGCATCGTTGAGCAGTTGGTGAGGCGTGGAGCATGAGGAGTCCTCGGTCAACTTGTTGCGCTGATGGAGATGTTCGATTGACCACAAAAACGGCGCTAAAACACCCAAAACCCTAATCTACCTTCTTATTGGGTCAAACACAAGTGGACCAATAGGGTTTGTGAATATTTGTTGGGCATGTAAATGTAACCCCAAATTAATAAACAAATATATTTATTATATAATATAGTCTATAATATAATATCAATCGGTCGAAATTCAGTGTCTTCAATCACAATGCGCATCTACAAATTGTTCTTCGTATTTTAAAGGAGAAGTTATTATATGCAAAAGCGAGTTCTGATCATAGAAAGTATTCAAGTTATGTGTCAGCCGATGAGATTCTGAGTTTAAAGCTTCATTACAAGTAGTAGGGAATTTTGGTAAGAAATTTGTCCATTCTTGTTGATAATGGCCAAATAACTTAGAATCACATATCCTTTAGAAACTTGCAGATCCATAGGAAGAATCATTTCAATTCTAAAACGCAAGTAACGATGGAAAAGCATTGATATAATACTTTTTCAAAAAGCGGTCCGAAGGAACCTCTAGTTTCCATTTAAACAAAGCAGAAACAGGCATAGTGATTTATTAGGCGACATGAACTAAGAGTTCAACAACGACTGCCTTTTGAGCAAACAACCCTCACTCCCAAAACAAAATCCTCTCCTCAAAACCAGTACAAATTCTTTGCTTAAGCAAGGGAACCTGTACAAGCTGTTGCCGGAGCTGTTCCAACCTTTGCATGACTGTATTTCTTGGTGATGAATCTACAATAAAAAGGGCAATTCAAAATGAAAAAAGATATTCAGCTTCAGTAGGTCGGAGAAAAAGTAAAGTCATCATTGCAAAGGTGAATCGTTGTCGTGTTTTTACCTGAAGAAATCCCTCCACAACAACTCAAACATCAACCAGTTCATTTGAGTATCAGGTGAGCCACTACCGCCGTCACTTTTCTTTGAGGTAGCAGAAATGGTCCTGCAAATCACATGAATGCATTCGATAATAGTGTCAGATAACTTGAAACTGTTTACACAACAACAAAGCCTCAGACAATTACATGGGGTTTCTAAAATGGATCATACTGCTCTCCGCTTTTCAAACATATCAATAAAAATAACAATAGTTATACGTTATTTTAGGCATAAAAGGGCACTTGACAGCATACCTATTTGCAGTTTTCTTTATTTCATCAAACATGAACCGTGGAGACAGGCATCCCATCGCTAGCCATGGAGATATTTTGCAAGAAAAGTTAGCACCGTATATGCTCCCCTGGCTACCATCCTTGCTCCACTTGTATGGCTGTGCTCGACACTCGGCTGCATATTTGTTAAGCCTCTGCAATGCTTCATTCTCCCCTCCAGCCATAGTAGCACTAACAGATCGCCTACCATCCTACATGTAAACAAATGATACTTTCTTTCTCAATGCTTTTAAAGAACCATAATCAAAAGAAGAAAAATTCTTAGGATAGCTTCCAAAAGAACAGTCTCCAATTAATTATCCTTGAAACATTCATAAGGCACAGCTAACATTGCTAATTGAATCCAGATTAAATGACTTGCATCTACTAGCATTAATTAGCTGCGACGCCAAAATCAAAACATCTTGATTACAAAGGGACAATATATCCGAGTTTCCCTAAGATATCCCAGGACTCACCCGGTGGTAACTCCTCCATGTTCTCCACTTGACTACAGTCCCTCGATATAACCATTGTCAATCCAATCACCAGCTAAATCTACTCTATGATAGTCGGATCTACCCTACCGCCTGGTGCCATCAACCCTGGGACTGACATCAGCCACCCTACTGCCTGGTGTCAAGGACATACATTTTTGCACTAGTTAAGGAAAGGATCTTCAACCCCACACCCACTGTTCATCGTCCTCTCCAATCATTTTATCTCCTTTCTCCATATCACCACCGACTACATTTCTCCGCTCACTGCTCAATCCAAAGAGGATGAACCGCCTAAGATCATCACCTTCCTCAGACCATCAACACTATCATTGCTAATTCAGTTTAAATAGCTTGCATATACTAGCATTAATTAGCTTCACGTCTAAATCAAAACATCTTATGAACTCTCAACATTAAAGACTAAACGGTGATTAACAACACATATGAGAGCACCCTAATATTTCTACTAGTTTGAAGAAAAATGCAAACATAATGAAGCAAATATTCATATGAAAAACATTGAAGTTAAATTTAAATATCAAACCTGAGCCATTGTGGCAGTGGGATTAAGTCCCAAATCTGCCAATGAAGGAATATCTCCAGTCTCCACATCACCTCTGGAAGGCATCCCTTTCATTTGGTCCAATGCTTCGATCGTCTTTCTTATCTCCAAGCCCTTCACTTTCTCCTTAAACCCACCATAATTGGAAGGCATATCTTCTAATTTAAAAGGCAAATCGTCAACGTGAAACAAAGTACTTCCCCAAAAGTACTTAACTTCAACCCCTTCTTCTTTCATGGCCGCCTCAATCTTTTCCTCAGCCTTAACCTCGTCATGAGAAACTTCTCTATGAGCATAAATAGCGTCAGCCCCGATAGCCTTAGCTAATTCAACCAAAACACTCTCCGGGTTCCCAATTCGAACCACAAGGTCCGACCCTCGTGCTTGGAGATTCTTTCGGAGATCCGAAACCGATTCAATCAAGAATGTGGCTCTGTATGGACCCGTTTTATCGAACCCAGACGAGGATTTCCCGTAATCCCGTGGGTCAAAACAGTAAATTGGCAAAACCGACATGGACTCCTTGTTGGCAGTGTCGAGACACTCGTTGTCGTGGACACGTAAATCGTTGCGGAACCAAACGATGGAAGCTCGGCGAATTGCAGCGCCATTGGAAGGGTCGAGAGGGCGGCGCGGACCTAAGGAGAGAGGGGATTGGAGAGGGTTGTTGGCAAAGGTAGCTTTTAATGAGTATTTGGAATGGTAAGGGGAAGGAGAAGTTGAAGAAAGGGAGAGAGTGGAAAGAGAGGAAGCTTGGGTTGGTACTTTAACTTTGGAGGGTGATTGAGAAGAGAATAAAGGTAAGGTTTTGGGTTGAATGAAGAACTGGGTAGGTAGGGTTGTGGGCAAGGAAGATAAGGAAAGAGAAGCAGTGGCGAATGGGGGTTGAGAAACTTGGGTTTGGCCGTGCTCTTCACTTGATTTCATTTCAGGGGTTTCACAAGATTGAGTATTGGAATCCATGTTTTTTTTTTCAGTGGAGAAGAAGATAAAGGGATGTGGTGAGACAGTTCGTTCGTTATATCTAACGACAGTTTCTTAGTTGTTGTGACCCACCTTCCCTTGCCCCTTTGTCTTGAATATTTTTCCTTTCGGGTTTGATTCTAAATTTGTGCTTCACTACTCCCCTCAACTACCACACCTACCAACATTTTCAAAGTTTCACAGCCCAAAAAATTCTTAATCCATTCTCAATTTCAGTAAAATTATTTTGGGCAATGATATCAACTTTACTAACACACCAAATATGGTACATGTTTTCTTAAATTTCATATAATCATTCATATAAAGTTTTTTTAAATTTAAAATTTACAAATTATTAAAACTATTATCAATATAATTTTATTTATTTTTACATATTATTGCATAAATAAATAATTATTTTTATTCAATATGAAAATAAAACGAATGCGTTTTTTCTTCTTCTAAAATGTGTATGATTAAACTAAAATCACGATTACATGGTAGAGTCGGATAGTAAACAAAATTTGATGTGCATTATTATAACAAATCAAAATTTGTGTATAAGATTATACATTCAATCAAAGTTAATGTATTTACTTACGGCATGTAAAACAGAAGCAACCAACTGCCAACTAGGGATGGATATGGGTCGAGTTGAATTTTCGGCCCACCTGACCCGACTAAAAAATTACAAGTACTCCATCCAACTTAACCCGAAATAATATATTTATTAAAAAATATTATTTGTATTTAATAAAAATAAGGATTTAATTGAAAGGAAATAATATATAGAGAAGTATTATTGCAAATATCTCTAAATACATAAGGTAAAATTACAATTTTTTCGGGTCGGGTAGAGTATTTTTCACTCTAAATCCGAACCCGACCCGAACATAATCTTAAAAAAGCCCGACCCCAACCTGAAATTTTAAAAAAAAATCCGATATGATCGAGTCGAAACCCGTCGAGTTCGGGTCCCATGCAGATCCCTACTGCCAACGCCCAATGTATAATGATAATATAGACAACAAACGGAGACCTCCACCTCCACCCAGCTACTCACAGAAATATTATCTCAACTTTCAACTTCAAGAGATGGATCCTCAGTTGTCTACAGGTAAGCAAGCAGCAACCTTCCAAGTCAGATACTTTACAAACAACTAGTAACAAGATCGAGAAGGTTAATAGGATTTCAGAAAGCTGAGACCAGACAGCAGCACCTCGGGCCGGGTAGAGGAAAGCACTAAAGGAGATATCAGCACACGTCGGAAAACTCAAATAAGAATCGGGACAAGCTACCGCAGACATTTCGTACGATCAATATGCTACGACAGATTTAAAACCGGAAGAGATGGACGTGGTCTAACTACATTCAGTACACCTCTTGCAGTTGCCTGTAATAATATAGAAAACAGCATGTAAGAAAGGTACAGATGATAAATATTTTATCTGTAAGACTGCGTGTATCCCACCTCAAAGAATGAATTAAAATTCATTCGCAAAAGGAAACGCCTGAGCAATGGAGCTCGTTGACTCCCAGCAAGCCTGCTACTGCGCAGTATGGTATATAAGCAGTTCAATTTCTTGTTAAATTCTAGGAAAAATAAAAAGGGCCAGACGTTGAATATTCAAAGGCACATTATCCATCATATTCACTAATTCAAACTTCTGATTCTTGCCACTTCCTCTTGTTGGTAATGCGGAAAAATACTATCCCATATTGTGTGGGAAATACTATTTGGTTTGGTATTTGTAGTGTTCATTCTTCAATCTTTTGTTGAGTGATAGAGAACAAAGGGAAATCTCACGCGTCGTCGCTGTCGTCTCGTCTTAGCTCGTGCTCATGTCGTGGCTCGTGGCAATAAGACACGTCATAAAAGATTTTTAGAAATCCAAACGACAGCTGATTAATAAGTTGTTATCCTCTGAAAAATTAAAGCATACAACAGCCTATAAATATCCTTACGAATTGTCTCTAAAAAATAGTATCTGCGCGGCCAGGAGCCACGACCTCGTCTACATGACGGGCGGTAGCGCACGGGATTTCTCCTTGTTCTCTATCGCTCAACAAAGGATGGAAGAATGAATACTATAAATACCCAAGCCAAATGGTAGATTCCACTCAATATGGGAGTGTTTTTCCGCATTACCAATATTTCCCTACTAATGCGAAAGAATGCTTCTGAAACTCAAATTAAAACCTTCTCAAAAGAGCAATAGCAAAATTAATTGCTTAAGCACTAGTGAACGTATCTTGAACTAGTACATAGTGATAATGAGCAATCCTTCTCTTAGATAAGTGAAACTAGTATTGAACTTTCTAAGATAAGGGTAAACTCATAACACATAGCTAACCCCTTCATCCACCGAAGTGTAATATATATACACGATTGTATATAAAGCCATCTTACCTCAGGATTCTAGTAAGTGCTCTAGAAAACAACCCAACGTTTTTCATAGAAGGTGGCTAATCATTCTCACTTACTTAGGTTATTTCATCAGGTTGGCTATGAAATAATTACGAGTCTTTTATAATGGCTCAATCTTTAAAAGGTTATGGTACTTCAAGTTAACTACAAATGAACCACCGAAACTATTTGATAAGAAATCATTAAAAATAAATATTCAGCATCTTTAGTCAGTGAATTCAATATGTCCTTTTCACTAGGACCATCCTTTGGGTTTGAATTCATGAAGAGTTTTCCTTAAAAACTCAACCTATTCTGGTGGTAAGCTCATCTTGTTCTTCTCAGTTAGGACTACCCACTCAACTCTGGGTTATGAACTTATTAAGAATAGATATTCAGCTAAAGTCGGTAAATTCATCAAGTCTTTCTCACTAAGACCACCCAAAACCTGGGCTATGAATTTATTAAGAACAATAAAGTTCATCGTGTTCATGTACATTGTTCGTCATAGGGATAGATTAGTAAATGTATACTATGAGTCTTTCCATGGTTTCGTTTGAACCCATTGAACTTAGGTAACTAAGTTGGGTATCCATAATGAATTCCTCAACCAATGGGCTTTAAACCCATCCCCTCGACGAATCTAGGATCAGTTTTCGGCTTAACCCTTTGGTAAACAGATCTGTTAGGTTTCTTTCCGACTTCACATACTCTAAAGAGAGTACTTCATTCCTTATTAAGTGTCTAACATATTCATGTCTTATGTGAATATGTCTCTTCTTACCATTGTAAGATTGGTTCTTGGCTACACATATAGCATCTTGTGAATCACACAATAAGGAGACTGGAGGAGTTGGTCTTCCCCACAACGGAATTTCAACTAACAAATTTCTGAGTCACTCGGCTTCTTGCCCAGCTAATTCAAGAGCTATAAATTATGACTCCATAGTGGAACGAGCAATACAAGTTTACTTCACAGACTTCCATGAGATCGCTGCTCCACCCAAAGTAAAAACATACTCACTCGTAGAGATTACCTCATCATTTTCAAAAACCCAATTGACATCACAATATCCTTCTAAAACAGCAGGATAGCCAACAAACTCAAGTTTCCAATCCATTGTACACTTAAGATATTAAATCAACGTCGAAAAACAATTCCAGTGTTCACTATTTGGACTATTAGTATATCTACTAAGTTTGCTCACAGTGTAGGCAATATCATGTCGAGTGTAGTTCATTAAGAACATCAAGCTTTCAATTATTTTAGCATATTCAGTTTGGGAAACGCTACTTCCTTTATTTTTAAAGAGATGTATGCTAGGGTCATAAGGAGTTCGAAGAAGAACAACATCAAAACCGTCAAACTTCTTTAATACTCTCTCGATATAATGTGTTTGATTTAAAGAAAATCTCTTTTCAGTTTTGATAACTTTGACCCCTAAGATTATAGAAAATCACTTTTCTCTGAGATTCATTTCCAGATTTCTTTCCATTTATCTTGTAGGTTCACAGTAATAAAATATAGATCACTGGTTTGTTGGCATGCGGATTCAACCTAACAAACCCACCCACAAATTAGGGGTGATACTCATCAATAGAAACTAATGCCGATAGCAATAAATCAAATAACTTGAGAGATGTCTCCTAAGTCCTACAATTAGCTAAATAAATGCTCAAATGTTGCTGAAAGTTTGGTAATTGACCACAAACCCTAGAATGTTGTTTCCCCAACCAAAATAGTTTATACTTTTATAATTCATTTAAGCTAAAACAAGGAACAGAATTACAAAAAAAGGGATTACAGAAAATAAGAATAAAAAAATTGAGACAGCTCCAAAATACCAGGAATATATGAAAACCCAAGTGACGTATCTGAGATAGATGAGTCATACTCCATATCTTGATCTTCTTGCCTAAAATCAATATAATTATCAAACTATTTCAAGTGTGTATTGACACAGACAAAAGAATGTCAATGCACGATTACGAAATGGAAAAAATAAAAGACGTTAAAGTTCCACAAGCAATCATGAGATTTATGAGGTATGAAAAGAAACAATTATATATGTTGTTTTAGTCCTTACCTTCTAATGAAAAATTCTCCATGCTGGTCTTGTAGAATTCCATAAACCATCCATGAAGAAAGTTGGTTATACAACACTTGATGACCATGCCAAAGAAGCCTACGGTCCAGGAATTAGTTAACAAGCTGATCTAAAAGGTCTTAGCATTTAAAGCAATCAACATACGGTTCTAACTTGTAACCACATTTGATGACGGTTCCCTTATAAATCAGGCATAAACATAGTCTCAGACTCCCCAGCCATTCACAAGCAATTACATGAACACTGAAAATATGGCATAAAAAAAGTTCGGACCAAATTCAATGCTTTAATCTCAATTAATTTTCTCAGCAGAATGAAGAATGTAATAAATACAATTCTTAATTAAAACTTTATAAGAGAAATGGAGACTATTTGTTGGGTTATTGTTTTCATTGAAAAAAAAGAAAGCAACGGAAGAAAGAAAATAAAAACCTTTGAATGCAGGCCTGCAATTCAGGCACACCACAATGGAAAAGTTTGTGTAAAAGATTAAGAAGCTGTCCTCCACGGATATCATCACGTTCAATCTCCAGAATAAGCTCGTACAAAGGTGGCAAAATAAAAAAGAACTGCAACGAAAAGATTAACTTATAAAGCAAGAACAAAGAGCAAATAGGAAATCATATCAGCTGAGAATAAACCTTATTGAGGCCCTGAGTAACAGTTGCCAAAATTGGCGTGGTGTCCGATAACAATTTCTGCTCAATTTGAAGAACAGCAGACTTGTAGACACTAGACAGAGAGTATCTCCACCATACCATTAGCAATGGATTTCCTATAAACGCTTGGCTTCCCGGCTTTAGGATTTGACAACTCAATGACTCTGTCCAAAGGAGAAACATCGGCGGATCTTATCCAGCATAAATTCCTGGATTTCGTGGCAAAGCGATCCAGCTCTCGGTAGTAAAACCCTAACGTAATTTAGATCCCTGGAGAAAAAAGCATTTGTATGAAACCGTCGGAAGAGAATGGAAAAGAGAGGGTTTTTTATGTTTACGGAAAATGAAAAATTCCTTCCTTCTTAGGAAACAAAAGACCTTTCACAGGGGTCGACGAAAGAGATATCGGAGGCAAGCTTGAAGGAATGTTCGGAGATGGGAGCGTCGGGGGATAAGCAAATGCTGAGAGATTTATAACGTTCTCGCTCGTCGATTATGAGATCTCCGGTGTAACCAGTGCTAGTAAAATCTCGTGCAACATTTTCTCCTTCTTTTAGTTGTTTTTGTAAAGTGAAAGACTGTCAGAGAGAATTCATGGGTCATGGCTGATATGCTCTATTATCTCCGATTACTGCAGAGTAAAATTTGAATCATAAGTTAGCCTCCAAAATGCCGGGTGAAGGCCTGCGGCGGTATAACCATGCCGGCTGCAGTCTGCATCAGACAGCATCAGTACGGATTAGGCCCTTCTTCAAACCGAGCCCAAATGCCGCACCCCCATCACTTTAGTACTGTACCAGTTATTGTCAGCCATGCTACTGATTCAAGTTGAAGGGAAAATACTAGTATACATTATAGAACTCAATCGTAAAAAAATGAACATGGAAGATAACAAGTTTATTATTTACTTTAATTCACTTCATTAATTAACAAGTTCTGCCGATTACAACTAACAAAATATAATTATAGAACTCCATCGCTGAAACATCAATCTTTCCGGACCTTACGTTAAGCAATTCCGGAAGGCGTGAGATTTATGTTTGTTTTTTTAATGAATTTTTTTTATCAACAGAATGAATTTAAAACGATAACAAAATGAAATTTTGGGTAGAATTCCAAAAGGGATTTGCACGTAAGCAAAACCAAAGCAATGGTGTCAAAGTTAGACACAGTTAGACGGAAAAAGATCATTTTCGTATTCAGAGTTGTAAGAATGATCACCCAATAAATACTATATTTGTCTTGTAGAAGAACATAGATTCTGAGAGGTCAAGTCATTGTTGTCCACCTTGTACAAAAGAACAAGTATGGCATGTATTCCTTCTTTTTGAACAAAATTTATATAAATTTTTCATATCTTTTTCCAATTTTTTTTTCTATTTTGTCACAAGCTTCTCACATCGATAACAACACGTTGGCAAATCAGGCAAAAACACGCCACGCTACGCTATTAAAGAAACAAACGGCTATTTAACAAATTTGGCCGACGAAGGCATCATATATTATTCAAGACCCAAAATCAAATACAAACATATCCTAAAGGCAGCCCTTACAACTATGGGTTCAAGCATATTCTGCGCCAAGGTTTTCGAATTCTTCCCCACATTCATATTTCTAAGGAAACAGTTCATTACATTTAAAACGTATGAAACCAGAGCACAACAGCAGGGTACACACAGAATGCAAATATACTTCATAAATTTACAAGAGAGATTAAGAACCAAAATTTTCTCCAGGAAAACTACTTTGTATAGTTGAAACTAACTTGAATCAAGTAGCGCATCCTTATCTGGTCGACATTGTACACTATATATTCATTGTACCATAAAGCACCCTGTAAAGCAAATTCAAATCTCTTGATACATTTTGAGAAGAAATTGTTGATTTCCTTGAATAAAATTCTTAAACATACCTCACGTTTTTGCTCTCTTGGTTTTCCTAGGGGAACTATGACACCATCATCAAGTCTCTCAGCTTCAGAGAGATCCGGGGCAGTTGCACCGACACCTTTTGTGCTGCAATATAGAATCAATGTCAATTTGAAAAGAGTATAATACAATTACATTGTTGTTGCTCTCAAATGGTACAATATAAACAGGAGATTCAAAATTAAGGCAGGAGTCAGGAGAGAGTTCCTCGCTGGTTATTTTAGTACTGGATTTGGAAAATCTTAAGTTATCAAAAAGATATAGATGAAAGTTACTTATAAGCAATCACTTGGTTTAAATTTACAAACCTCAACTTCCCATCTGGCAACTTATCAGCATCACTTTTAGCGTGAAGAAGCTCAGCCATGTCGCCCAGAGCAACCTAAGAGATATATGGCTTATGAGAATACTAAACCACAAGAAAGGAATGATTATAATAAATGGAAGGATGATGGGAAGCAGATAATTCCAGAATTTCCAAGAAAATTCATATGCAAAGCTTCAAAGTAATTCCTGAGACAAAGAAATACACAGATTGTAGTTTCTGATATAACATGCAACACATTTGACAGTGAAACCATCAACCACTGTCCATGGTATTACCAAAATATCATTTGAACTGATTGAAGAACAACCTCGCAAAGAAGTAACACCCCAGTTGTGAAGGAAGAATTAGTATAGCAATAATTTGCACTTTTGGAGAACATATCAGCGAAGTAAACCCCCTTCCCGAACATGTAACCTGTCACAGGTGCTTCAGGTGGAGCAATGCGCAAACCTGATGGATGTTAAGTATAAGATGCTATCAGTTATCCTGTGGTTATTGACAAACACATTCAACATTCCCACCCATACATCATAACATGCATAAACAACAGTGAAAAGGAAAGACCTTGATGCAGAATGCCAATCCCATGATCCAAAATCAGGAGAAAATAGGATACGCATACTACCCACAAATCTACATCCATAATTACATTTAGAAACAAGAGAGAGAAGGACAGACCTTGGGACAGAATGCCAGTCCAGTTAGTAAGCCGAGAACCATGCCACAAAAGCATTCTATTTTTCGTTCTACAAAACTGCTCAGTTAAGAAACCATAATAAAATTAGACCATTAATAATTACTTGGTAGAAAGGACATTCTACAATTAACCGGGAAATAACATTTTCATGGGAGGCACCTTTTTAAAGCGTTCAATTTCATCTTCTCTTGTCACCTTGAATATTTGAACAACATCAACCGTATAATTTGAATGTGTCTTTGCATGAGTATTTTGAATATACTTCAGAATCTGATCAGGGGAAGACAAAATGAATGAAGAAAATGTAAACAAACTAGTTTCCAAAATGCGTTGCAAAAAATGTCAGTAAACAATTCTTCTGCAAATTTCAAGTTTTTACAAAATTGAGAGGGCCTCTGAGTGAAAACAGAAAGTTTAACTTAAAAATTCTAAGATGAACAAATACCATAGAAAACTCCTCAGAATCATTGTCGAGCGGAACCAATTCACAATGAAGTTGTTGATAACGATAATGTAAAGGATCTTCCTAAAAAAAACCCCACAAAAGTAAATTAGTGCATGCATAATCTAATGAGAAAGAACACGAAAACATGAGCATCTCAATTGTAATTGTGTGTGTATGCATATATGGACACATTAATATAACAAAAGAAGTTAGAGATGGAAGAAATTTTGGTGCTAAAATTAACTATTGCCTAATTAAGCTCACTGTAGATCAAACAACTGTATATTTTTTTAGCGGTTAACTAAAGAAGAAAGAATGTGGATAGTAGAAATGTAGACTTAAAACAGTCACAAAGGACATAGTTTTAGCCTGTTGGCAATATGGTTTACAGGTGATACAATTACAGCAATAGCAAATGAAAAAGAAGCTTTACTATATACAACATACAACAAACTCAACTTTCTCCTCAAGATTCATGCATGATGCATAGGAAACAATAATAATTGAAACTTGCAAGCAAAATGCAAGCATGGTTGCTCTATTCAATGCTTGTTAAGCGTTCAAGCACTTTAGTTTTTTCAAACACAACTTTTTGTTCAGCTTATTTAAAAGATGAACTGAAATGGGAGATCAAAGAAAGGAGAAGAATGTAGAAAAGAACATCAGAGATTAGAAGTACAATACCTCCTCCATACTGTCATCTATTAATAATTTCAATGCAACCTCTATTTCTCCCAGGGTTTCGACCTTCAATTACATAAGAGAAACTGAGATTGCCCTTATTTAAGAAGACAACTAAGAAAACTGGCACAAGCTTGTAAAATGCTCAGGCATAAAAGCAATACAGGGTAGCTAGAAAAAAATCACCATTTCCAACTTCTTTTTCAACTTCTGAGGTGTGTCAATGACAAATTCACCTGCCAAAGATAGTTCCATGTCAGTTGTAATATTGTTATTGGGATGGGTAGAGGAGGAGGAGACTCACGCATTTTTCTAAATCCAAAATCATGGGGAATCACAGTGTAAAATTCCCTGTAATTAAAATTGAAAACAAATTAACCAAGAATGAAATTCACATTTCTTGAATATGTAGAGTTCATGGAAAATAAATATAAACAGAATACACAGCTGTAATCAACATAACATGCAATCTTGAATATGAAGCCAATAATATAAAGCATTAATGTTGTACATGTGTAACAAAAGTTACGAAAAAGTTCTTACGAACTTAATTGCTCAAGCTTGCTCCTGTTTGACAGGTCAATCACATCAGCAATTCTCTTCAAGACATCATAGCCCTGAACATACCCAAGCATAATTTATTTTGTTAAGTACTTTTTATAAAAAGTACAACATCTAACAAAAGTACTCGTAACATTCCTATACTGAAACAAAGACATGCCCAATAAGATCGATGCTAAGAAACCAGTGTAAGACAATGCATAGCAGGAGGCAGAGGACCATAACTCCAAAAGTAGATTAAGTGGCAGATGAAAAGAAGTTATCTAAACAATAAAAAAATTGAAAGCTGTGGCACCAAACCATAAGTGCCTACATTGACTGACTCAATGACCAGACTAGACATTCAATATTTAGAATTAGTATAGAAAGGTATCACCAAAATGGAATACCTTTACCTTCTAAAATCTTCTGTACTTTCTAATAAAACAAAGATGTTTCAAAGAGAAATGTTTTGTGCATGTCTTGAAAGAATACCTTTAAAATTGTGGATTTGCTTAGCTTACCAAGAGGCAATTTGTCAGCGTTGTATCCTTGAAGACAACCACAATATTTACAGGGAATATTAGCAGCAATACAAGGATATAAACATAATGAAATTCACAAGGCCTTAGAAAAACAAATGAAGCAACCATAGCCTAAAACCGAATAAAATATCCTCCACGTGTATCAATAGTTTAGAAAACAATATAAGCTCACCTATTTCCATCATTTGTTGCTTCATCATGCTGATATTGCATATGACAGAGATAAATTTAGCAACACGCGGTTCAAGCTTTGTCTCCCATAATTGAGTCCCTATGGAAGAGTTGGTCTTTCTTATGACCTGAATATAGTAATAAAAAGTCAGAAGCATATCACTAGGAAATGAAAGCTCCATGGACTAGCATAGGTTATATGATGCTCCTTCTCTATCATTCCTCTCATTTCCTTAAAGATGATTAAAGGTATGCAAATATCTTTCTTGCTAAACCAGTAAGGAAAATCAGAAAGGGGCATGGGAGAAGGTACAGGAGCCAGTAAGTCATCTATTTGTATGTAAGAACAACTCACATCAGATTCTTTTTCTTTTTCATCATAGTCCATCTCTAGCAAGGTATAGCACTTGGGGTAACAAACAAAGTCTTTTCTGTTGTACCAATAGTTTTTGGTTTTGTTAAAGAACTTTGATTGAAACTCATCAATTGCAGCTTGCAGTGAAGTAAAGGGGTCCTGTAACTTAGTTTGACCCTTTACACCAACTCTACCCCATCTATTATGAACCATGTATGTCTTCAAGTCATCAGATTCTGCGAGAAAATTTGTAATAAGGAAATCATGATCAAAGCAGAACAAGCAAATGTCCCATCCCAACACCCCCAAAAAAAGGAAGTACATTGTTTATGCAAATGAATTTAGATGAACTTCTTTCTGACTAATTATTAAGTAATAATAGGAAGACATTTGAAGCAATAAATCTGAATATCAGTATCTGCATTGGGATAAAAATGCATTATAGCAAGAACTAACCTAGAAGTTGGATCACAAAGAACTTGTTATTGTTTTGCCCAACATTTGTCTGATTTAACATGGCATCATAGATATCATCACCCTGAATCACAGAAATCCAAACACTAATCTTCTATTCTATATATATATATATATATATATATATATATATATATATATATATATATATATATATATATATATATATATAGAAATTTAGAATTGAAAAATAATGCAGGCAGGCAAAATATTTTCCAGATAGACAGGCTCAAAAATGGAATTTAAGCAGCAAAGACTGGCCTGTTGTAAAACATGATAATGAGCCTTTATCTCATCTGGGATCCCTTGATCCAGAACAGCCACCCCTTTCTTTGTGGCAGTAACGATTTTCTCCTCCTTGATACTCTCTTTCTCTTCTTCTTCTTCTTCTTCTTCCCCCACTTTAACTACCCACGCAACAAACAAAGAAAGTCCCCATTAGTCTTTCACCAATGGAAGTATCAAACAAACGAACAAATAAAACCGAAAGTAATTTTACCACGAAGAGAATTACTGTTGGCATCTTCGCAAAGCCTCTGGACAATTTCCTTTTTGGTTCCAACAGTGGAAAGACCTCGAAGAGTAGCTTGTTCGCGTAATTGCTTGACATTCATTTGTTGAAATTCCTCAATTCCCTTTACTTCGTTTGAATCTTCGTTATTATCAACATCCGATTCCATTCCTCTTTTTCTCTTGTTATTTTCGGTAGCATTATTTGCATTGTCTCCATTTTCCTCTTCTTTCTTCTTCTCTTTGAGCAAAGCTCCCTCCAGTCTCTCTACCTGTTATTAACAGCCAGAAATTTAAAAAAAAACTGAGAGAAGTGTTTCAATTATATATAAAAAAGATTAACAAAAGGGGCAGACTAAAGAGTAAAAAGGAGATTGGGGGCAACCAGAAAGCGCTTGGTTCCAGTTGAGTCAAGCCCACGCTTGGCGAGTTCATGGCGGAGCAGCTCTACTTTCAGCATACTTGTCATTGTTTTCAATTTATTACCCTTTTGACTTTGGTGAGCGCTCAGAGTGCAGGAGAAATTGTTTGAGATTTCCAAGTAGGAATGGAGGGTCAGTGTTTTATACGGTGACAGATGTAGTTCAAAACTATGTCGTTTAAGCAGCTTTCCAATCACGATGTTGGCGCCTGTTCTGGAATTTTTGACTTCTTAAATTTCCCACCCCCACTACTTACTGAAGAGGAAATCGTGTGCAGCACTCTTTTTCCCCAAATATTGGGCCGGATTCCTTGAGCCCATAAGATAAAGCCCTTTAAGACTTGCAGCGAAGGCTTTTTTGGCCCAATAGAGCTTTTGGATTTATAATTTAGGGTTTTACTCATCCTCCAATTTTAATTAGGGATATACGGCATTTGCTACAGCGTCAAACGAATTTGTAACCTTAACGTGATGAGTTTCATGAAATATTATTTTTTAATAGACTCGAATGAGTGGGTCTCACATGGGCCATTAATATACATGTTACGTCGAACTGACGTGTCCAATAAAAAAATATTATTGAAAATAAAATTATAAATTTAAAAAATGAACTCGTCACCTCGAGGTGACTAGTTTCTTTGAATTCAAAAATCTAATTGTTTTGTAGTCATTGGTCAACAAGTAGTTGTGCAACAGTTACAATGGAACTCGTCACCTCGACGTGATAAGTTCGCCCGGGTTAAATTTAAAAAAATTAATTAAATAAATAATAATAATTTTTATTAAGATAACATTGTTTACAAACTAATAAAATTTATCCATATTTTCTAAGTTATTGACAATGCAGATGAATGGTCGAATAATAATGGCGCGGGGCTCGTCGGCCTTGATCGTCGCCTTCGTTGTCTTCATCTTTCCGAGGAGGTGAACTTAACATATTATGAGATCCACCTTGGAAATACGGTGATGATCTTATGGTATTTGATGTCATCATTGTCATTACTAAATCGACTTGGCAACTATGTTGTTGACCATATATGATTTGATCTCGTTCACCCTCAACCGTATGTCTTGTCGAAATGTTAAGTGTGTTGCAGTGCATCCCATGAACCTCTAACTTAATTCGATTGAGTCTCAATTGTAGTATGATATGCTGGATAGAAACCGAAACTAGCCCGATATGCATTATAGATGCATTATAGTAATCTTCAGATGCATATGCTAAAGCAGAAGAAGAATAAGACGCCAATGATTTATTCTTGGACTTGTGAAATATGTCCAGATGTGTTCCCATTCTCTTCTCTCTTGTGGTGTCGTGAGATATGGTTTCTCATTTGCTTCGTAATTTCGGAGATAGGGATAATGGTCGAAATCTAGGTCCAGCGGTGTAATATCGTACAACAGGGTGAGCAATGAGTGTCACCGATTCCATAGCTCGATGTAGTAAGTGTGCTTCGCCAGCCCATTTTCGGTATGTTTCCCACGCATGTCAATTCAATATAGTGCGTCCATCTCAATGATTTGCATGTAAATCGACTAATGCGACTCATACTACAAGCAAATAATAAATATTTACAAATTTGATATGTAAATTGGTCGGTGAAGCACACTTACTAAATCGATACACTCAGATGGTGGCACATTCCCCAAAACTTTGTAGACTAATGTCTTGGGGTCGTAATTGTTCTGCCTCACCACAAGGGCTCAATTCACGGGAACACCGAGTTGGTAAGCGACGTCTTCCAAAGTAATCGTCGCTTCATCACTCGGGAAATTGAAAGTGTTATTCTTTGGCCGCCAGCGTACGACCAGAGCCTGAATCAACGTCGGATACACCTTGAAGCCACGTACAAATATTATTGGAAAAAGACCGAATTGCTAAATATATATCAACATCCATAGATGCGGATCTCTCACAGTCATTCTGCGCTGATGAATACTCTGTTCTTCTTCATGTCGGAGTTTGATCGAAAAAATATGAACGTTGTCGAGGTGCAACATTTTTGCTTGGGAAACCATTTTTGGGATTTTCACTGAAAGTTTGACTTTTTTTATTTTTTGGATTTAGAGTTTGATAAAAAAAAATCCCAAATCTCTATTTATAACCCCAATTCGAACGATTATAATACAAAAACTCAATGGATTAAGAAATTTTATTTTTTAATAATAAAAAATATTTTTTATTAGACACTTCAACTCAACATGGCGAGTCTGTTTAAAACAATAAATTAATGGTCAACGTGAGACCCACTCATCTGAGTCTATTAAAAAATAATATTCTATGAAATTTATCACCACGAGGTGACGAGTTCACCTGACACTATAACGAATGTCGTGAATCCCTAATTAAAATTGGAAGATAAATAAAACCCTAAATTATAAATCCAAAAACCCTAGGGTAAAAAAAACTCTCCCATGAAAACTAATTGGGTTGTAGAAGGCCCTTTCAATTTCTAGATGTTTAAAGGCCGACTTAAAATTAAAATGGTAAAATTACACCCATGATTATTTAATTATGGTGAGGTTTCAATTTGAATATTGATCTTTTAATATTATCGATCATACCATTTAATTATTTAATTGATATCAGTCAAGACACTTTATGTTAACATTTGATGAAAGAATTGACGTGACAATTAATAAAATTAGTATAATTATTCTTTTGTCATCAATATTTATACATTATATCAATTTAATTTAATAAATTTAACCTTCTAAGCATATGATGACATGTGTCAACATCTCAACATCTGATTAGATTTTTTTATAACTTTAATTTGTAATTAAATAATGTGTTCTTCTTCCAATTAGATGGTGACACATGTAACCATTTGGTTAGAGAAAAATAAGATAAAAAATGTGTGTGGGAGAAAATCAAACCTAATTAGAGAATTTAGAAATACCCAAACCACTAAAACAAATATAATGATTGAATTATAGTTTGATATATATATATATATATATATATATATATATATATATATATATATATATATATAGGGCTAGGATCCACTTACACTGTGTAAAATTCTTTTAGTTCTACACCTCTTTAGGATCACTGGATTGATGAAAATAAAAAATTGAGATATTCCAATGAAATGTTATCGTTTTTTACTACTAATCTCAGTCTTTAATTTCGTTCATTCAATTATTCTAAAAAGATATAAAACTAAAAGAGTTTTATACAATATTATTGAATCATGCCCCATGCTAAAATTAAGTTTAATTTTTTATATTTTTATATTTTTACACCAAAGATGTTTAATGGATGAAGGGAAGTGTGATGTTGTATTTCCTGCTAACACAGGGAACAAAAATATGTTAAAACTCTAAAAATATAAATAAAAAGCTAAAACAAATGAGAATTACTACTAAGAATGAAAAAAAAAAATAGAAAGCTAAAAAGTACCCAAAATTGTAAAACGACTTAAAAGAAATTCTTTCGAGGTGTTTTTAATGTGTAAAAATCAAAAAGAAAAGTTATGAGATTTCTCCTCAAATATAGTAGGTATAGTCTAAAAAATGTAAGCTTCGAATTCATTCACCCCCTCTAAACTCGAACAATAAACAGATGTAAACTAAACTCATAAAATAAGAATTTAATAATTTTTAAGGTAAATTCACATTTAATATCTAAACTATCAATTTTGGTCCATTTTAGTACCTAAACTTTTAATTTTTTTTAAAATCATACTTAAAATTTAATTTTTATTTCATTTTAGTATCTCTGTTGAAAATTTAACGTTAATTTTGGGGGAGAATTGAAAGTTTAGGTACAGAAACAGACCAAAACTAATAGATTAAATACTAAATGCATTAAGTTTTTAATGGCGGGGTACTAAAATGAAACAAAAACTAAACGTCATGTATGATTTAAAAAAAATAAGTGTAGGTACTAGAATAAATAAAAACTGATAGTTTAAGTACTAAATGCTTAGTATACCCTAAATCCTATAATGAAAAGGTAAGTCCATCAGGCTTATGATCTTAAATTTAAACTTTCATACTTACATCGGTAACTGAATACAAATACCAGACTTTTCACGTTCATAAATTGGTTAATTAAATTAAAGCCGAATAATCAGAATGGATTAAGAAGCCGAGCTGCTTGCGTCTATGAAAACGCCTGCGTATACGTTCGGTAGACGGTGACGTGCCGTTTCAAATCTGCTACTAGTTCATTGTACAGTCCACCACGCATTGTAAGACAGTCCAAGAAAGAGACATAAGAAAAATATACTTGGTTGAAATACAATTGATGAACTAAAATGTAGCTGATAAAAAATAAACACGTTCTAAACCGCGTTGATGAAAAGAAAACAACGGATTAAAAAGCAAGCCGATTTTACTAGCATCTTTGTGTTTACCCCTACCGAAGAGACCTGGCACATTTTATACTCCATATGGCACAAAAATATGTATGCATGCATGTAGGGATGGATATGACACAGAAATATGTACGCATGCATGTAGGGATGGACTAGAGGAAACCGGATGGGAGCAATCACCTTCTAAAATTGTCAAATTTTCTTATATTTAATTTTTTTTTTTGCAATTTTTATTCAAATATGTTTTTGTCTTTCAAATTTTATGAATTTGTCTCCTTAAAATTTTATAAATATCTGACATAAAATCGTGTGTATGTACATCAGGCATATGTCGGGAAACAGCCATGTGCCAATGTTCTTTGAAAGCTACTGCTAGATCAAGCATTGTTCCAATACAGAGAAAAAAACCATTAAAGCAATGGATACAGCATTTTACTTTTAGCAAAAGGTATCCATGCAACGGGTAAAGAAAAAACCATAAAATGCATATCAGTGATACATACAAACAAAATTTTCAAGACAATTAGGAAAAAATAGAGAAGAAAACCAATTGCTGTGCTTTCTATGAAGCAAATGAACTAGCAATATACTAGAAATATCTGCAATTGAAATCAACACAGGTAAAAGGTGAAAGAACATAGACATACATACAGATCCTTGCCAAATCAGCTCATATCCCGGAGTCTTTTTATCAATGCATCCAACGATTTTTTCTTTGAACTCTGCTTGACACCCCTGCTCCCAAAGGTTCCGAATAGCCGATCCGAAGGATCCCTTAACTTCTCTGAGATTGTCACAACTTTCCTGTAGTCCAGGGCATTATAATTCCTCTCTCTAATTACTAGATTCAGAAAATTCTCTGGATGACTGCTCAAAAGCAAATTGATCAACTGCCTCAAC